TGCTTGTCTAACTTATAGACTGATTTAACCTTTTGGGAGCTCCATTCTTTAACGATCTCGTCTTTTGGGGTGCTTAGTAGAAAGGGTGCGTAGATAGCAGCTTTTATGGAATTCAGAGTTGCATGGAATTTGCATTCAATTTCACATAAGCCTGGCAGTTGAGTAGCTTTAATAAACACTGGCTCCTTTTTTGAATTCACAAGCATTACCAAATTACGATCTTTCAGTCGAAGAAGTTCTTATTAATAAGGTTAAGTGCATTGTAAACCGAAATAACAATTATGCTCAGAAATAGATTTATCGCTCTTTTTGGCAGAACTCGTATAGTGTTTGTTGTGGGATGTTCCGGAAAGTGGTTTAGGTTGATGCCTACTTTTTTTTAAAGCTAGAGCAGCGAACCGATTGTTTCCCAAATAAGATGGCCCAGGGCCTCCCATGTTGACTAACTAAGACTAACTAGTCTCGGGTTTTTTTCCGACAAAGATAAGCTCACATTTCTCACAACAGACTGAAAATAGATTTGAAAATAATTAAAAATGTTGAGAGCCAGTATTATCATACGAGTACTTGTCTAAATGTCTGGGAAAGGAAGCTTAACTCTGGAATTAATGTTTCCTTTCCTTCGTATTGATTCTTTTCTGTGCTCATCCCGGTTGTTCTTGTAATCTGTTGTGTTGGGGGGGTGGAAATGTTTTGACTTTTACTTCGCTGGCATCTGAGTTTTAGAATCGAGCGCACGCCTTTAATGGCAAATGAAGCGATAAGCCGATTCGTCCTTTGTCCCTTTGTCGCCTTTGCTGTTTTTTTTTTGTACGCGCAAAGGCAAAGTGATTGACTGACTGATGACTGAGCTGGGGGGGGGGGGGGGGAAACCTGTAGTCAGCGCGTTGGAGTTTAATTAATTACCAGAAAATTGTTAATATTTGCTTGCTTTCCCTCAAAGCGGCCGGTGAACGGGTTGCACAAACATGCCGATGCCTCTCCTGGTGTCGTGTGTATGGTCGGGTGGCTACGTTTTATAATTTACGTTTCGCTTTTAATTTAATTTAAAAGAGCGCGCCCTAAAGTATGCAATTCCAAATTATGTTGTTTGCTTTGGTTGCCGCGCCGGGACCGACCGGGACCGAGGAGCCCAGTGCATTTGTTTGCAAGGGCCTCTGGCAATAGCAGCGATAGTGAATGTAAAATAGTCAAAGCATGTGCGCGAAAACACACACACACACACATCCATCCATGCATGTGTGTGCATGTTCCTGCACAAATAAACAAAATGGCGACCAAACATTTCGCGTTGTCCATTTCATTAACATTTTTGCTCTTGTTTTGCGCAGCACACATGTGGGTCTGCGGATGTCTATGTACTAAGTATATATGTATGCATGTACATATGTATGTACTCTTATATATGTGTATATATGTTGGGCAGCCTGTTATGCAGAATTGAATTGAAGTTTAAAAAAATACGCGAGGCAGCAAAAAGTTTCAGGAAAAAGAAAACATGCCAGCAAATTCAGAACAAGTTCTGGCAAAAAAGCATGCAAATATTAAAGTGTTTAATTTTTTTCTATCATCAACAAAACAAAAGGCTCTGTACCGGGCAGGTCTTTGCTGGCTAAAAAATTCAAAAGGATAAATGAATAGGCATACAAATACACATGCATTCATGAATAAAAGACAAGAGTTTTAATTTCAAAGTAATCTACTTAACACAATTGGATTTACAAAAAGGTCTGGTCTGGAAAGCTAAGAAAGTATTTTCTTATAAAAAACTCGGTGCATGTGCTTAGCATAATTAAAACAAGAAAGGAATGCTAAAGTCGAGCAGGCTCAACTCTTAAATACCCTGTACCACCCCACAAAAAAGTAATTAAATTAAATTAATTAATTAATTTAATTAATTAAATTAAATTAATTAATTAATTTAATTAATTAATCAGAAAATCAGAAAAAATGAACAAACTCGTCCTTTCTCGGTCTCAGGAGAATCTGTATACCAAGTTTGGTTATTCTAGCTCTTATACTTTTGGAGATCCTTGCGTTCATACAGACAGACAGACGGACAGACAGACGGACATGGCTATATCGACTCGGCTTGTCATGCTGATCAAGAATATATATACTTTGTGGGGTCTACCAAGCTGAAACTAATAAATTTAAACATTAAAAAATTTGTGTAGGCATTTTTCGAAGTCTAGGAACGTAACCCCTCATTTTGTATGGAAATACATGGCTCGTTTAACGCGATTTCGCTTAACAGGACGTAATCCCCGCGTTAAGCGGGGGCTAGGTGCACATACAAGTATATTGTCTTATCCATAATGCTCTGATGAGCCGTAAGGTAGCGATGCGCGATATAATTCGATGTTCATTGATACATCAGCACTTGCCTTCGATATATCGAGCTGCAAAGATGTATCGAATATTATGACGTCGACGCCTAAAATCGATTATATTGATTTTGATGAATCCAAAATCGATTTTCATTTTGTATCTAACTTTGACGTTAGGTTAGGTTAAGTCACATGGACAAGCCTGCCTCTTTTTCCAATACATTTTCTTCGATCGACGATGGTGCGACATTAGAATATACAAGTAGTCAGATTTTCCCGAAAATTTCGTTTGTCTTACAAAACGACACTAATGCAAATTGTAAATCAGTGGCGTTCATTGTTGTTCTTCCTAAACTGTAGTTCGTGCCCAACTCTTGCAAAACCCGTGGCCACTTCAAAAAAGTGAAAACAAACTTTGTTAATTTTATGTAAAAAATAATTAACTCTGCAGCAAACTACAAACAAGCCCGACAGTGAAATTCCCTTTACCCAAACAACAAACTTCCACGGCTGAGTTATCTTCAAAAAATAAAGCAATTAAGCTTGGGTATAGGAAAGAGTATACACATCAAGCTTGGCCAATGCGGACTCATCCGTTTCCACAACCGAGGCGTTCATCCATACGGACGGAGAGACGGACATATTTAAATGAAGGGGCAGGCTAGATTTGACCAGGTAGCCCATTTTCTCGTACTGCCAGTCGCAATACATACCAATATATATTTATATATTATTTATTTATATTTCTTCTTCTTCAATTAGATTAATTGTCATAGGGTTTGCGTCTATGCTTGTGCATGCACTATATACCCGTATATAGTTCACTATTAATTCATATTAACATTTATGGCTATATCTATATATAGTATAATCCTAGAACCACATTACAGATGTTCAAACAGTGGAATTAACCTTCACGTTTTTATGGGGAGTACATTAATAATTTATCCGTAGTTTAGTTTTGGTACGTTGAAGATACTTAGAGCGCCTTCTGGATTATGTGTTTAGTAGCTTTAAGTCAAGAGATCATAAATCGGCTTAGAAGAGTATTAGCAAAACCATTTTCGATTAATTTTTAATCAGTTTTACCAAGTCTGGAAATTTGTTGGTAAAAAAAATAGTGATATTTCCGATCCTGCTTAACATCTCTTCAATTTTGCTAATCCTGCCCGAATTTCGAAAAGCTACTGGCATCAACTGACTCTTTTGCAAATCCGGACCTGCCTTTAAATGTCTACATTTCTCACGGATGTTATTACAAAACAGAAAACAAGAACATATAAATATATAAATGAGATACATACGGATAGATATTTGAAGATTGTATGGTTTTTAACTTATATGATACATACAGGGTGCGCCATCATTTATGTCGGTATGTAAATATTGAATAACTTTGTCATTAGTGAACCGATTGACTTGAGTAGACCAGTGTTGAAAACCTCAGTTCAAGAAATTGTACATAACCAAATTAAATAAAAATATCTCATACTTGAAAATCGGTTGTTTATTTTCAAAAATATTCATGTATACCTAGTGCTAGGGCCTTAATAAAGACGCTAAACGTTTGAATTCAAATATAAACTAGTTATACGACAAGTCGATCTAGCCCCGTCTGTCTGTCCGTCCGTCTGTCCGTATGAACAACTAGATCTCAGAGACTATAAGAGCTAGAGCCACAAATTTGTTCACAAAGATGCATAATGTGTGTACGCTGTGCAAATTTGTTTTATTGTTTTGATTCCCCTCCCCCCACTTCCCCCCTATGGGGGATTTCCCGATTTTCCGTTCGTATAATCACCTATATCTCAGACACTATAAGAGATAGGGACACCAAATTGTATTCCCATATGCCTTATGTGAATACGCAGAAAATGTGCATTTTGGAATTTCGCTCCCTTTCCCCCGTAATAACTGATTTTCCATAACGCCCGTAATTCTTGGAAATTTTCAGTCAAATTTGGCAAACACCTTCAGTTAGTGATTATGAGTTCGTATGCCTTTCATTATGATAGGCCGATTGAACAGGAAGTTATAGCCATATATATAATCTTAGACTAAGCACTGCCCGCAGCTGTTATTGTTGTTGCTGCTTTGCACAGGCACACGAGACATACACAGACACACACAAACACACACAAACACGCACAACCACACGCATTCCTATTCTACACATACATATGTACAGAGTATTTCACAGTTGGTACACCAGACATTAGCTTCTCCACTTGTTTTATTATGGAAAATTTTGTTACTTAAGGTCTACACTTACTTTCTGCATATTCTTTCTCCTTCTGCAGTTCCATAAAGTGCATATCGTCTTCTCTTATTTGTGTGTGGACTGTATTTCCTATTGGTTGTTTCTTCCATTGCCCTGATGCTGATAATATTTACGGTCTGTCATGGGTTTCAGCGACCCTTTTTTTCTTGCAATCACTTGTGCGTGCACTAATATTTATGACCTGGTTGCCCATGTTCATATACGCGTATGAGCAAGTGACGTTTTTATCTATTTGTGCCTGGTTTCAAAGAAAGGGAATTGCATTCACTTGACATTTTACATTTCACATTTTCTCATTTGACAATAACTTTGGTATTGAACATGTTTATTTGAAACAAGGAATTGATCTTATGACCATTTAGTAATTGCCGTTACTTTTCGTTCAACAGATGATGCAACACGCCTGGCACAATTACAAGCTATATGCGTGGGGAAAGAACGAACTGCGTCCGTTATCGCAACGCCCCCACACGGGCAGTATTTTCGGCTCATACGATCTGGGGGCGACAATTGTTGATGGCCTGGACACATTGTATATAATGGGGCTGGAGCAGGAGTACAAGGAGGGACGTGATTGGATCGAGCGCAAGTTCTCTCTGGACAATATTAGCGCCGAGTTGTCCGTGTTCGAGACGAACATACGATTCGTGGGCGGCATGCTCACACTCTATGCCTTCACAGGGGACCCGCTGTACAAGGATAAGGCTCAGCATGTGGCAGACAAGCTACTACCCGCGTTTCAATCGCCAACGGGTATTCCGTATGCCCTAGTCAACACGCGTACCGGCATTGCCAAGAACTATGGCTGGGCGTCGGGCGGCAGTTCCATTCTTTCCGAGTTCGGTACCCTGCATCTGGAATTTTCCTATCTGAGTGACATAACCGGCAACCCGTTGTATCGTGAGCGTGTGCAGACCATTCGTCAAGTACTGCAGGAGATTGAGAAGCCTAAGGGCTTGTATCCAAACTTCCTTAACCCGAAAACGGGAAAATGGGGTCAACGTAAGTGTCATGTGTAATTTGTATTTTATTTATAGTATTTATTAACTACTACACCCACCAACTATATTTTCTTCGATCCGTTTAGTGCACATGTCACTGGGCGCCCTGGGCGACAGCTTTTATGAATATCTTCTGAAGGCGTGGCTGCAATCGGGCCAAACGGATGAGGAGGCTCGCGAAATGTACGACGAAGCTATGACAACCATTATGGACAAAATGGTGCGCAAGAGCACCAATGGCTTGATTTACGTATCCGATTTGAAATTTGATCGTTTGGAGCACAAAATGGATCACTTGGCCTGCTTCTCCGGTGAGTCCGTTGAACGTTGGCCTACAAATATTTTTGATTTGGTTCAAGAACTTACTAATCCCACAACCTTTTATAGGCGGCCTATTTGCCCTTGGTGCTGCCACTCGCCAGAACGAGCACGCAGACAAGTACATGGAAGTGGGAAAGGGTATAACCAATACCTGCCACGAGAGCTATATACGGGCTCCCACTAAGCTCGGTCCGGAGGCTTTTCGGTAAATATAAATGAGTCCTTACAATAATTCTTATTACTTAGTTCATTTCGATGGCACTTTTCAAATCTAATTTATTCGGGATCGACAATTACTGCTTTTTATACAAAGTACACATATATACTAAGTAAATACTATGCACATATATTTGTAATACTCCCACTGGCTGGTTGATTTCAAAGAGATAACTGCATTGCAGGTTCCTCCCTCCAAACTCTTCCAAAATCTCGAGATCTCATTTTAAAGTTCGCACTTAATGTTCATCAGGCTTGTGCTGTTTATTAAAACAATACTTTGCTTGAAGCGACCCGGAAGCTCAGACATTGCTCAACAAACTATGCTTCCAATTCCCAGAAAAGTATTTATTTAAATTACATATGTATTTATTTAATAAATCAACAAATAGTGCTGTCGTACATATTACAAAAACTATTATTTATATTATATTATAATATTATAATTTAGACTAAAGGCATGTAATGATATTACGTTATAATTTTAACTTAAAAGATAAGGAAGCCTAAGAAAAATGTAAGAAAAATGCAGCCATATGTGGTGGGAGACATTACAGAATATTTGATCTCATGTGAAGGTCAAAATATGTTCATGTTCCAAAAATACAAATCGTAGAAGCCCTTACTTCTAGATCTGCTTATAATAATATTATCATATTAAGGATCGGTTCAGTAGGTTTGGTAAACAGTACTGTGAAGCATTTTGTACCCTTTACGCAACCCACATTATCAGATACTTTCATACCAACATTCTCAAAACATTCTAAAAACAAAAAGTTGTCTCTACAAAATCTCCTTCTAAGTCAGATCCTGTTTATGGCGCTCTATTATATAGCTAAATCTCTAGTGTTTAAATTGTATTCCAAGATGCCTCATGTGAATACGCAGAAAATGTGTATTTTGAAGTTTCCCTCCCTCTCCCCTAGAAATAGTGATATATGATAACTCACGTAATTCTCAGAATTTTACACTCACATTTGGCAAATACTTCCAGTTAGTGATTATGAGTCCATATGCCAAGTTGCATCATGATAGATTTTAAAGGAAGTTATAGCCATATAGAGGTTCTCTCTGCTCAAGCGCTGCTTACACAGACACGAATAGACACGCATAGACTTGCATACACTCAAATAGTCAATTCTCATGTAAATGTGCAATTATACACCCTTTACGTGAGTTCGAATACCGAGGAAGGTGTCTCGGTTGACTCGTAATTGGATCTAAATTGGAAGATATAGCATATTTTATTTCCAACAACTCGGAGTCCTTAAAGATATAATTGCAGCTTTCGAAAAGTTTCATTCATAAATGATCATCTATTGTGCAATGCGGAAGTAGTGCTGCAATTAATTTATTGTTCCGTTCAATCCTTAGGTTCAGCGATGCGGCAGAGGCGCGTGCCTTGCGCTCTCAGGAGAAATACTATATACTGCGACCCGAAACGTTTGAGAGCTACTTTGTGCTGTGGCGGCTGACGCACGATCAGAAGTATCGCGACTGGGGCTGGGAGGCGGTGCAGGCCCTGGAGAAGCATTGTCGAACTGCGCACGGATATTGTGGACTGCGCAACGTATACCAAGCGGAACCGGTAAAGGACGACGTGCAGCAAAGTTTCTTCTTGGCCGAGACACTGAAGGTGAGCTGGTGTTGTGGGGCAATAGATTAATTGATAGAGTGTTTGACGATGACAATTTCTTTGTTCGCAGTACTTGTATTTGCTGTTCTCGGATGACTCTGTACTGCCGCTAGATGAATGGGTCTTCAACACGGAGGCGCATCCGCTACCCATAAAGGGCGCCAACATTTATTATCGTCAAGCGCCCGCTACACAACCTGCACCGAATGCCTCATAAAATGCCGAAATGGCTACAGTTTTAGCTATTTCTGCTATTTAAAGAACTACCTAGTTTTTTTTTTGTTTTTTTTTTTTAACTTGAATCTAGAATGTTTTTAAGGCGTGATGACAACTACATATATACATATATATATACGCGATGTAAACACACCTTTAATTCAGCAAATACAACACGAATTGTGGAATTTGTATCAAGCTAAATTATTTAGCTATAGCTATGTATGTAACATTTCTTCTTCTTTTATGCATATAAGTATATATATAAATATATATAAATGCCGTATATATAGTATATGATGGAACACTGCAAATGTATGTGTGTGAGTGTGTGTGTGTGTGTGTGTGAGTTGTAAGCAACAATCAATTGTCTTCACAATTTGCTAATTTTCAATAGATCGTATGGCATTTTCACTAATTCTTGTAATAATATTGTATTGCATGCATTGCATTGTATGTATATTGTTAAAGAACCAGAACCAGAACCAGATCAATATCAATATCCAGCTCAAGCCACTAGTTGCTAGCCCTACAAGCATACATTTCCGTTGAGCAAACTTTTTGTTCGAGTGCCAAACCAAAAACTCTATTCTATTTATGTGCGAGTATGCGATTCTCTGAAGAAGACTGCTGGAGGCTGGCTGGCTGCTTGAGCTTGGCCATTATGTTCGATATACAAATACATACGCATCCCTCCTCTCACACCAGATATACAGTTATAGTTATAGTTTTCGTTTTTATACATACATACATACACGCGTACATACGACATCATACAACTGTAAACTCAGGTGTTCTTTTATGTTGACTCGATATACGAACATACCAGATATTGAATGTACATTTTTTTAAGTTAACGTCGCAGCCTATGTGTTATCTAATATACTTTTAACTTTCGGATAGTTTGGCTGTTTTGGCGGTTTTAAGCATGACTTGTGTGTACAATACTGTTACAATTATTGTCCTTGGGTGTACATATGAATGGAATATTTGAGAACGCATGCTTTAAGAATTAATATGATTAATAATTATGGATTTAACGCCTTGCACTTGTTTCACATGCGCTATCTAAACAAACGTATTTACAACTTGCAACTACTTAGCAAATTCTTGCGAAAGCTATCAATCTCTTTGTATTTACTTAATACTTGTACTACTATACGAGTATGTATGTTCATGAACACTTGCTTGCAAGCTTCATTTTGTAAATATGTTTCCAGCTAGCAGCAGCAAAAGGTGTCGGTCGCATTGGCATTGCGGTTGCCGAGCCTGACGATTGGAATGATGATATTGTCACATGTAGTTAATGATATAGTTTAAATGTGTTATTTTATACATATACACACACTATAAATAACTAGAACTTAACTTACTTTAAACAAATGTAACGCAAATTACTTTACCACAACAACAACAACAACAACAAAAAACAACAACTCCAAAATAAGTATATAATAATAAAAGAAAAAGGAAGAAGAAACAGAAACAGAAACAGAAAAAAATCAAAACCAACAAATAAATGGAAGAGAAAAAGCAACAAACAATATGAAACGAATCTTAAATATCTAATTTAAATTAAATTAAATAATAACAAAACGTAGGCAATTGTTAAACAAAATATTTATACAATTATACAAAAAGATAAAGGGCAAGCAAGAAATTATTTTTAAACATGTAAAGTTTTTTTTTATATACACACACCCTAGATATTAAAGTGCATTAATATATAACGACGATATATACAAGTACACATACATATGAGAGGGGATGTATAGAATTAGAAGCAGTTTAGATGGCACCTTTTCGAATGTGCTAGAGAGCTAATTGAAAGGGGCGGGGCATCCGATATTGAACTGTCGTAACATTTTTTGTTCTATTTCGTAAGATCACATAAACGAATCTGAAGCTTGGTTTTTGCATTTTGTTTTTAGATTTTTGATTAATTTTTATTTACAATCGCACAACGCAAGCTCTATATACATGCAAGCATAAAAACTGATTGATTTTGGAAACGATGAGTAATAAATATGATATTATAAACATAAATAAATACTTATAAATGAAATTGTGGGCGTAACTCCGCAAACTGTAAATGCATGAAACAAAGAAACAAAATCTGTTTTTCATATGCTAAAAACAAAGAATTAATTATATTGTAATAATATTGAACTAAGTTGAATAAAAATCGAATAATTAAACAACAACAACAACACAAGGTGCACGAGTTTCTCGACAAATTCAATGGATATTTTATTTTATTTGCTCATTAGAATCTATTTGCCGTTCAAGTCGGACATTGAATTAAGCGACTGGAGTCAGTTTTTTGCCTTCATGCAAATATTTCCCATATAATGTGTATTTGTGTGTGTGTAGGTGTGGAATTTGTGAAGGCAATAAACTGCATCCGTCGGCGAAATCCTTGAGGTAATCATTAATCATTGCTCTGCCGCTGAGTGTATTTGTGGCTTTTTTTTGTACAGTTGTGTGTTGTATTGTAGTCGTTGCTCTCAGCAAGCAGCGCACTGCTCTTAATCCTTGCCGCGCTTCGTAGTAACTGTTGTCCTCTTCGGAAATTTACGCTGAGGCTCCGTCTTAGCCTTCTTATTCGATTCGGTCGCGCTGCCGCGTTTACTCGGTCTACCTCTCTTGGCACCAGTGCCTAACGAAATCATTTGATTAGGTGGTACACTGGCCACTAACCGAAAAGTCTGCCCTTACCAGGTGCGATGGAGGGTCCGACATCTGCAGGTTTCTCAAAGTCCTTAGTGTTGACCTCTGCGAAAGAGAAAAGTTAAGCTCGCAATCAAATAATATGTCAATGCTTACCAGAAGCAGTTCCAACCTGCGATTCATCACTCTTATCTGCGACACCTCGCTCGACAGTAACCAAATCCTTGGCCTTTTCAATCTCAGATTCGTTAGAATTAGCCTCTGCAAAGCGAAAGGCTTAAAAGTGCATTCAGTTGCAAATAAATATAATGTTTGTTCATACCAGAAGGACCTCCTCCCTGCGACTCTTCATGCTCAGTTGCGACACCGAGCTCGGAGCCAACAGCTTCCTGGGCCGACTTGTTAGTATTGGCCTCTGGGAAGTGAAAAGTCAGATTAAAAAGCTCTTGCAACTTAAGGAAATATTTGTCCCCACCAGAAGGAGTTCCTTCCTGCGACTCTTCAAGCTCCTGGGCTTCTCCTAGCTCCGACCCGTTGTTGTTGGCCTCTTTGGAATGAAAAGTTTGAAAATGTAATTCACCTGCAAATTATTGAAATGTTAGTCCGTACCAGAAGGAATACCCCCCTGCGGCTCATCCTGCTTAGCAGCGAATGCATCGCATTTTGGGACTTCCGACTTCTCTGTGAACACAAAATGATGAAAAATAAATATGTGGCCCTGTAATTGAATGCATTTCGAGTTCTTACCAGAATGAGCTTCGCCCTCCTTATTGAGGTCGGCACCCACGGGATTCTCGGTTCCTTGGAGATCGGGCTCGCGAATGTTGGCATCTTCTTCTTCTTCTCAAAAAAAAAAAAAAAAAAAATGACTATGAAAGAGACACTTTGCTATACAAGTGCAATATAAATTCTCACCCTCATTCTTAGCATCATTCTTAGCTTCATCATTAACTAACTTGCCGGTTTTCTGAAGCCCAGACTCGTTAGTATTGGCCTCTCCGGAAAGTTGTTCAGCCTGCGGCTTTTCATTTTCAACTGCCATAAGTCCGGGTTCCTCGTTTTTTTGAAGCTCAGGCTTCTTATTTTTGGCCTCGGCTAAATAAAAGTGCAGTTAATACTGCATCAATATTTTTTCCTACCGGCCCAATCGTCACTTTGCGACTCACCATTTTCGACTGCGAGGTTATGTCCGACCGCAAATGGGATCTCTGGCATTTTAAACTCGGAACCAGTGACATGACTCTCCTCGCCTGGCTCTGCCGACTTGGCAATGACGGACACATTTGAACTGTCAGTCTCCATCACGTAATCCAGATGCGAATATCGTTCCAGCTCCTTTCAAAATTAATTGAATGTCCAAAATCTGAAAAATGAAAAGAAAAAGTTATTTTAATGAAAAAATTAATTTTTTACTGTACTTACTTTTTCGAAGCTAGCGAACCTATTCCGACGAACTGTCCTAAACGACTGACTTCAATTGACTATAGGAATAATGAATTGAAAATTAAAATGTCAATTTCAAGCCTACTTTGATTTTGAAAAGTAAACGCTATTTGGCACACTTGGAAAACTTCAGACATGTCTAAAAAAGTATTATTTCCAGCACACAAGGCGAGTCAAAATAGCAACGCATAGTTATTGTGATTTTCGAACGTTGGAAAAGGTACAATCTGTATACACTCGAACATATAGGCTTTTTTTAGGAATTTCATTCAAAAGACAATAGAGTCTGAATAACAGAAGTCGAGCCAACTTGGCTAAGCTCCTCCAATGAAACAAATAGGTCTTAAGCTAATAATAAGATAACTTATGCTTATTATATTATTAAGGTTAATACGAATGATAAAAATGTGCTAATGCTTAGTGACTTTGTGGTGAAGTGATTAAAAAAAAAAAAAAAAAAATGTTTAATGGATCTAATACTTTTGAATTTGATTTTCTCTTCTTATTAAATTGGTTGCATTCATTTAGATTAATGGGCTTTCTGACTCATTACCTATTATTGATCTTGGAATCACAAAACACCAAACACAGCTGATATCATAAAGTTTCTCATGCGGATTCTCTCCAACTTATGAAAATGTTTATTCTGCCTATAATATGCAATTTTGATATATCACTTGTAAGTGAAGTATTGTCATAGCTATTTATATGGGTATTTCCATGATGTCGCACGGGACAGTCGTCTTACACGTTTAAGGTGAAAAAAAGTCAACTGAAAACGAATTTTATTTTTGGTAATGGGCCCAACTTATAATTCTTAGCTAGCCCTATAATTGGGGCTAAGGTGGATTTTTTTTTTTTACATTTTTCGTTTCCAAGATAATTACAAGAAACCAAATTATTCGCACGGGAAAAATTCAGAATTGGTTTTCAGTTTAAGCCCAAATTTCAGCGAACCCTGAGGTGACTAGTTTACGGAGGTTGTGCATTGATGTTCGATTGATTATAGCCTGCACAGTAGGAGACGTGGCAGACCACACAAAGTATATATACTATTGATCAGGATGACAAGACAAGTCGATATCGCCATGTCCGTCCGTCTGTCTGTCTGTATGAGCGCAAGGATCTCAGGAAGTACAAGAGCTAGAATAACCAAACTTGGTATCGCGGTTCCCCTAAGTCCTAGACAGGTCAAGTTTATTTTTATACCCTGTATCCGTAGGGTATATTAGGTTTGTGCAAAGTATGTAACATGCAGAAGGAAGCATCTCCGACCCCATAAAGTATATATATTCTGAATCAGCATGACGAGAGAAATCGTACAAACTGTACATACATTTTTGTATTTCACATTGTTTACATATACTTGTACATCTAATTCGTAACTGACATTAGCGAAGAGGACTTTGATTTCTTGCTTCTATCCGATATAGCTGTGGTAGAAATGACTAAAAACTGGGATGACGCCGACTTCTGAGTGTACTTGTAATATCGTATGTAATGACGGACAATAGTTCAATAAATTGTTTCAATGAATTCCTGTCTTTATATTATCAATCAATTGACAGCGGTTCATGCTTGTATCTAAACTGATAAGCTTTCTAAGAATGCATAATTACCAGAGGCATAACCTTTACCTATGGGCCCGTAGTAAGAACAAAAAGAAGAAGAAGAGCAAATAACTTTGTTTTTTTGATGCACCCCCATTTTCCATAACTCCCGTAATTCTTGAAATTTGGTTATAACATCGGATTAGAGATAATGCGCTTGCATGTTAAGCTTAAACATGATATGTTAATTATGGAGAGAGTTATGCCCATAAATGTAAGCTCTGCCCAAGCTTCACCCGCAGCTGTTGTTGCTGCTTTGCCTCAACTCTGTACTGCACACACGCATAGACACCACTCTTATGTAAATGTACGTAGAAACTGTACATATGTATGTATGTTTGTCTCCTCTTATGTGTTGTTTATTTAATTTAATTAATCAATTAAATTAACATTACATTTTTTAAAAATTGCCTTTTAAATTTTTTAAAATTTCTTTCGTTTCTAGTGGAAATGGGTACAGGGTATTTAAGAGTTCTTTTTTGTTTATTCGTATTTCATCGATAAATATGGGCTGTCGACATAAGTTAAGTATTTCAATATAATTACTTCAACTTGAAAGATAGGAGAGCCTCCGACCGGCCAGCTGTGCCCCCCGATTCCAAATGTGATCTGACACGTTATTAGAGCTAATAAACAACAAAAAAAACTATTCAATAAAATAGTAAGTAGAAGAGGGGAAGGGAAATCTCCAGAGAGAGAGAGAGAGAGAGAGAGTTCTGTTGGGAGCAAGTGACAAAGGCCGTTATAATTTGAACCATTCCCTGTTGGTCTACAAGGAATTGGAAAGTTAAGACGACCTTAGCGAACAGAGGAGTTAATATCAGTCTGTAGTAAAACTACACCCCAAAAACAATTCAACGGATTGCTAATGATGGAAGATTTAGAAGCAATAGTCTGCTAGAATACGAAGCCAAGCAAAGGCTGGGATCCCAGCTCTATCCAAGCAAAAAGTAGAAATTAATTCTGGACAGACTCAATGTTTTGCTGATGTTCTTTAAAATATTTTCCTATAACTGCGTTTTGTTTTGGCAAACCGTCTTTGAAATCCCTAGCTCAGCTTCTCCACAAAGGTGGTCTCAATTAGATTGATGCCTGGGGATTGGCTTGGCTACTCAGGGACGTTCACCTTGTTATACTCTGTACATGAAATGTACAAGAGTATATCAGGTTTACGGGAACTGAAAAATGTAGCTGGCAGAAGGAGGCGTGGCAGACCCCATTAAGTATATATATTCTGAATAGCATGACAAGACGAGTCGATCTATGCCTGTCTGTCTGTCCGTCCGTATGAACACTTGGATCTTAGAGACTATAAGAGCAAGAGACATCAAATTTTGCACAAAGATGCCTTATGTGTGTACGCTATACGAGTTTGTTTTATTTTTTGATTTTCCCCCACTTCCCCCCTTTGGGGCTTTTCCCGATTTTCCCATTCGTATAATCGCCTACATCTCTGAGACTATGAGACCTAGGAACACCAAATTTTAGTCCAAGATGCCTTATGTGAATACGCAGAAAATGTGCATTTTGGAATTTCCCTCCCTCCCCTCTCTCCCCCGCAAATCGTTACTCCCGTAATGCCTGGAATATCGAACTTAAATAATGCAAATGCCCCCAGTTAGTGCTTATGTGTCCATATGCCAAGTTTCATCATGATAGACCGATTTAGCAGTAAGTTATAGCCATAAATATATTTGCTGCCCAAGCGCTGCCCGCAGCTGTTGTTGATATTGGTACTTTGGAATACCAAGAGAGGTAAAATCGATCAACATTTTTTTTAATTCTCGTAATTTTTTTAATTTCTATAATTATTCTAAACATATGTACAGAGTATTTCAAAGTCGGGACACCCGACTTTACCTTTTTTACATGTTCTTTAACAAACCGTTTAGATTTTGTAGGATCATTGTCCAGCTGGTATTTTCACAAAAGAGGCATGAAAGTTAGCCTTTTTGATAAAAAACAAGAAAGAAATGCAAAAGTTGAGCGGCTCGACTCTTAATTCCCTCACCCTCACTCCCACAAAAGAGAAAAAATTTTAAAAAAGTATTTTAAAAATTAATTTTAAATAAAAATTGAATTAATTAATTTAATTAAATCAAAAATATTCAATACAAACATATAAACATAAATGAGGACATATGTATGTTTATGTACAGTTTCAACAGTGTCTATGCGTGCTTATGTGCGTGTAAACCAAAGCAGCGGATTTAAACCAAAGCAGCAACATCAACAGCTGCGGGCAGAGCTTAGGCAGAGAATATATTTATGGCTATAACTTCTTCTTCCTAATTGACCTTTCATTATGAAACTTGGCATAGAGACACATAATCACTAATTGTAAACTTGTTGTGCCATTTCTTCTCTCCCGTGGTCCGCGCCAGGTTTTATAAATTGATGCAAAGTTTACCCTCATCCTCAAATTTGCAGTTTTAACCAGAGGAACTTTTCGAGCTATCCCTACAGGATAGATTTGTGTTTGCTTTTCGTGGTCTAACGGTTGGGAGACAGAACACAGACATGAACGGGCAAATGTAACGATGAGGTTGTCAGTCACTATTAAAGTTTTTCTTGGGGCTCCTCGTATTTCAATGGATTTGTCTGGTTTGAACGCTTCGTTACGAACTTTTCAGATCATCGATGATCTGCCAATGAATTTGTAGGTTTTATACGAAAATATTGGTACAACATTCCTTCAAAGATTTGTCAGAAGTTGGTATCCTCTATCTCTGCAGGAATTGGATCATCTAGAATAATAATAATAATTCAATACAATACGGCACCTTAAATAACAAAATTTCAATATTTATTACTATTTTTTTTTGGGCACACCTATTATTCTGTCCAGCCGAAAGCAGTTGTATTTAATGAATTTAACAAACGGTAACTTTTTTTTATAGTTTGCAAAGCCTTTTATTATTTGTTTTGACGCTGAAGTATGTTTATGTTGAAAACTAACTGATTTTTTGAGAAAAATTAAAATATACATATGTACATATGTATGTACATGTGTATATAAAAAGCAAGCTTTTTAAAAAAAATGTTCTCACGCCTATTATTATGTCCAGGTGTGTATGTACATACATACGTATGTACATAGATAAATACATATAAATGCATATGTATAGCCAACTAGAATTAACAGCCATATGTAGAATGTATGTATGTACATACGTACTCGTATGTTCATATATTGTAGTTAAATTTTTCGTATTACATAAGTACATGGTATATGTATAGTTATGTAACAGGGATCTAATTGAAAACAAGCCTGAAAGCAATAAATGTTCGATCGTGTTGTGGGTTCACGAAAGCCACCGTTTGATGTCGTCTCAGCCTAATACAGATACATATGTACATACATACATACATATGTACAAACATACATACCTACATAGGCATTACTAATTTTGTCGCCCCGCTGCTCATGAATTAATTAACAATCGAAAAGGCGAGAAAGAGACTTAGGCGCATAACGAACAGCAAACATAAATACATACATACGTATGTATACATACATACCCAGTCCATAGACGATGAGGCTACTGTGATAGATTTTCAACCTCTGCTTATCGTGCTGCTGCGGATCTAAAATGTTGTTGTTGCTCAGGTTGTGTTTGTTTGTCTGTCTGCCTGTCTCTCTGTTTGTTGACGTGCTGCTGCTGACCTTGAAATTGATAATAGCAGAACAGCAGCAACAACAAAACGTGATCCGCAGAAGAATGTAGAAGGAAACCGATACGCATACATACATACATAAATATGTAGTATACATATATATGTATGTAGTATACATATACATATATATGTGACAGTATATACATACATATGTACATACATATATACAAATGTACACTCATATCTCCAGACAACATATGACAATCTCTAAAAATGTACGTGCATACATACATGCAAGCCTATTACATATGTATAAATACATATATACATACATATGTATGTACATATATGGATGAAACAAACTTGTTTTAATGCGTCGCGCGTATTTTTATTGCTTTTTGTATATGTATAACTGTTTTGTTTATTACACTTTATCAATGGTTTCTTAAACTAAAAATAGTCTTCAAATTGTTGCCGTTTTTTGCAGAAAAAACACATGCATACAAAAAAAATATCTTAAGATTATGGATAGGAGGGGGCATAAGCAGAAATAGAACATGTTTACAATTGGCACACGAAATAAAACGAAATAAAAAAAAACAACACAAACATACATACATACATATGCAAGTGCGTGTGTACACACTTCTGTATGTATGTACATATGGTTGTATGCTGCTTGATAACAAAACAAAATTAAAAAAAACTTATGGACTAAAGAGTTTAATTAAATTCAAAGTTTGCACACGCGGCCGCCTCTCTTGAGTTAGAAATCACGAGGCGTTCCGATGGGTAAATAATGTTGCCTTCGATGGTGCTTTGGAGTGTGGCGGGTTCGCTGTGGTGTGATGGCTGCACTGAGTGGGGGGGTGGGTGAGTGAAGTGCATCAAGATTGTTGTTGTCTAGTCCCTGTCCCTGTCCGCATCGTTGCCAGCATTGCTGCTCGCTCCTTTGCATTGCACACAATAGCGATAAGAGACCGGCTCCGGGGGCTTGCTGACTGATGCCGCTGACGCTCCATTTCCATTGCTGGTTGCATTCCCGAAGGGCGACGGCTTGCTGTCCACTGGACTGATGGGGAAGTGCTGCCAATGTGGGCACGGCATTTGTTTCGGTGGGTGAATGGGAAATGGCATGGTGGAATCGATGTATATATATAAATATGTATATATGTATGTATGTAAATGGCACTCGCGCTGTACTTGCAAGACACAAACACAAAAATTTAATTTGAAACGCTGCTCAGTCTGCGATTTTCTAAGCACTGCGTGCAACTTTCAATTTTCGCTGCTGCCTGTGCTGGTGCTGGCGCTGCCGCTGCAGTCGCCGTTCCGCTTTGCACGAAAACCCAAAACCAACTGTGGACACTAAACGGAGAGCAGGCAAAGGCAAGCTTGTCTAGCCGGTGTAGCAGCGACAACAACAGAGGCGAAAAAATAAATAAGAAACAACAACGTAGTAGCAGGGTAGACTCACAGACGAAAAACCAGAACACAAAGAACACAAAGAAGAGAGACCGCATCGTGCTGGCGTCAACGCTTGGAAGCACAACTAGTGATGTGCCATAACGATATTCAGGTCACGAAATCTGAAAATGTGTACATTTTGTCTAATATCGGCCGAAAAAATGAATGCATTTGCTTGGCCCATTAAAAAAGGAGTACAATAGTGTGGCTGTTGCACACTAAAAACAATAATAATGTAATAATATTACCGCTACTTTAATGATATACTTGTGCCGTGATTAACTGAACTGATACCCATCCTTAGCCTCTCATTTCGTTTACGCGAAGAGCGAAGGCGAGAGAACGTTCGCGACTGCTCTTTGTGTCTGCGAGTGGAATGACTTTTGAATGAATTCGAAATGCAACAGCATTATAAAGATTGTTGTTCAGTTCCAAAATGCTGGGCGGGTGGTGGGTGGTAGAGTGGTTGGGTGTTGCGGTTGTGGTCAGAGGAGGTTTTATTGGCGCATACGTCGTTTTCCTCTTGTCAATTGATTTTATATATGTACATACATAAGTACATTTCTTTTTATTCAATTCAGCTACAAAGAAACGCAGCCATCGAGCAAACTCCACACCGATTTACTCATCCATTGCTCCAATTAAGGGAGTGTGACTAATACTGTTGCTCCGCCAGACTTTGTTTGCGATTTTTATCCATCTATTACATATGTATGTAAATACATACATATGAATGTACATATGTATATATATACATATGTATGTACCTAAGGTCATACAGACATACGCAGGTACTCAATAGCACTTATCTCTAAAGCAGGTAGTGAGGACTGACTTCTTAATAAATAGAAAAATGTATCGATTCATTAATCTTGCCTCTAAAAGATTGCTTAAACAGTACATACGGAAATATACACACATATGTACATATGTATGTATAAATTCATATTATTTGTAAGCTTATACACAAATGCATATGTATGTATGTATGTACATACGACTACATACTATTTTTTAAGACATTCATAAGTATGTATGTAGGTACATACATACATATGTATATTATTTGTGCCAAAACGGACTCACAAAGTATGTACAAACATACAAATGGATATGTATGTATGTATAAACAGTGGAAACTCCCTTATAGGCGGGCACTTTTTCTAGAACTTTCTTTTCTTTCGAGCATGTTCGCCTCTCTTGTGCGGACACTCTCTTGACCTGACACGGACACTATTTTTTAAAAAACTCAAACCCTTGCCTGGACGCGAACCTTTTGAAAACGCACGCTGACATCCTTAGATACATAAAGTTTTGAATAAAACCTCTCTTGGCAGGGTGCGTACAACTGGTATTGGACGTTTTAAATGCATGCAAAATAATTGTAGTGATATTCTTCATTAAGGTTGATCATCGGTATTTGTCATACTTGTATTACTTGTATCTCTAATTACAAGACGTTTTTAAAATGTCCTATAACTTCCGCTTTTTTGTGCACATATTGTTGTTAATTAATTATTTCACAATCATGCTCAGTTTTTTACGACCAAGACTATCGTATTCCCTTATCGTATTCACCGTACAGCTCGTAGAGCCCATCTTTCTATCTAATACGGTATTACGAGTATATCATATAGCTGCAATAGCAACGAAGTGTGTAAAACATGAAGAAAAAGATATTGAACTCGAATTCGGCATTTGTGGCTTTATTGAATGGCCTCACCATATTCCAGATTTCTGATAATCGTATGTCATAGAGCTAGAACGATCGGGTTATACAAGAGTGTGACTTCAGCGCTTTACTTGTTATCGCGGGATTGGTCCCAAATAGCAAACCGTAGTAGTATTTTCAGAAACTTTTAGCTTACGAGAATGTGCGCGATCGTAAAAGGTTCAAAGAATACTGTGAATGGAAATTCCGAAAAACCGCAAACTATTAAGTAAAATATTAAGCTATAATACATACATACATACATATGTACATAAGCGAAATCGCCGACTATTACTATGGCATGTTTCTTATAGATACACATATTGAATCGATTTGGATAACGAAAGGTATGATTTGTTCACAGATCTGCCCAATGGGATTTATATAAGATAATGAGGCCATAAATATATGGTTTTTAATAAACTTGCTCTGCATATGGAAATAAAAGGTTACTAACCAAAATAAGGGTCTCTAAGGCTAATGGCTCACAAGTTCTCGGTGTTCATATGTACGAATGGACGGACTGTTGAAATGGTGCGATTCGTCATGCTGATCACACACACATCTATGTATGTATAGTGTGTATCCATAACATGGGGTCTCTCTCTTATATAGCTGCCATAATTTTTTGAAATAAAAAAGCTAGATTGTCAAAAAAAAGCTAAAAAAAGGCAAGGCACAATAAGCTTTACAAAAGATGGTTCTAAAAACACTATTTTCTTGGTAATATTTAAGGAAATATCTGTTTTAATTTTTTCATATTAATTCTAAATTCTTCAAATTCATTTCAATTTCAATTTATAATAATAATATAAGATTCTTGTAATAATAATAATAACAAGAAAGGAATGCTTAAGTCGAGCAGGCTGAACTCTTAAATACCCTGTACCACCCCACAAAAAAAAATTATTAAAAAAATTTAATTAATTAATTAAATGAAATATATTCCATGCATGCTTCCATACATTTACATCAGAATCGTTTCTATGTGCATTACATAATTATGTCAAAGTAGCAACAAATACAGCTGCGGACTTTCTTTCTAATCAACCTATCATACTAAAACTTGGGATGCGGATATATAATCACTAAGTGGATGTGACTACCAAATTTTAGATTAAAATTACAAGACGGGAGTTATAGAAAATCATGAATAGGGGAGAGTGTGGGGTGGATCAGAAAAAATGAACAAACTCGTCCTTTCTCGGGTTTAGAAGAATGTGAATACCAAATATGGTTAATCTAGCTCTAATACTTTCTGACATCCAGACGGACAGAGCGGCAGACGGACATGGCTATATCGACTCGACTGCCATCCTGATCAAGAAGATATATACTTTGTGGGGTCTCCCCTTCTGTGTGTTCCATGTACACTCGCACAAAACTCATTCATATGCCCTTTTACCCTTTGGGTACAGGGTATAATAATAATAATTTGTCCTCAAGCCAAAATTTGAGCGTATTTTCGGTGTTCTTACAAGTACAAAGCTTTATATTGACTTCTATAATATTTGGAGTATATGGTGAAAAATAAAGTTACGCTAAAAAAGGCTAAATACAGTTTTTTAAAGCACTGGCATTAAAAAAGCCAGATCTAGCGGGGGAAAAAAGCTAAAATGGCAGCACTCCTTCTATGTACACAGTAGCACCGAGACGATCACACAAGTGTGATTTGCGATTTTCAATTAGTTTTCAATAAACAGCCAAGTGCCACATATGTTTGGCTCTCCAAAGAACTGGCTGTTTGGTAACAGATTGCTGTGTAATGCCAAAACATGTATTACAAATCAGGTAAATGGAAAACACATGCGTCTACTATTAATGCACATAAACGCGTTCTATATGTACTTAGATATGTATTTGGAGCTGAGCTCATGACGATCATGCACATTCCCACTAATTTGTTGACAACCGTATGAGTTCTCGATTTTGTAGCTTTTCACGAGTTCAATTTTAATTCCCAGTATCCTAAAGGGTACCTTTCTTAACTGGGAACTGTTTGATAGGGGATCTTAGACTGATACTGTGGGGATGTTTATTGTGGAATAGCGTTGGAGTTTTTGCTAATCTTGTGGGTACCATCAAGGGCGTACGCAGGGGGCGCAGTATTTCGCCTTAAATGCAACTGAGTTGGATTTGTTGAAGTTTTTTCATTGATCATATGAATAAATCATCGTTCAAAGTTTAAATTTTTAGGCTCCTCCTTTGGTAAAAGCTGCATACGCCCTTGGGTACCATGAATGTCATCTATTTTGTTAAAAACATTTTGCAATTTCTCTGAAGTTGAAACGTCCTTACTGTGGATTTTTCAGCAAGATAATGACCCGATACATACCTACAGGGAAGCGAAGGAGCGATTCGGATTTTAAACAAGAGAGAATAAATAGCCTGTACTCTCCACAAAAAAGGAAAATATAAAATAAAAAAAATTGAATTAATATTAAATTTATGAAGAAAATATATTTAATACATATATATCATCGTGTCTATGCGTGTTTATATGCGTGTATGTATGCGGAAAAAAATTGAACCAAAGCAGCAACAGCAACAACAGGTGCAATTTTATTTATGGCTATAACTTTCTTCAGAATTGACCTATCATGATGAAACTTGGCACAAGGATACATAAGCACTAACTGGATGTAAAATTGATTTCAAAATTCCAAGAAATACGGAAGTTATAAAAAAACACGGATTGAGGGAAAGTGGGTGCATCAGAATAAAAAAAATTAACTTGACCTGCCTAGGACTTAGGGGAACCTCGATACCAAGTTTGGTTATTCTAGCTCTCGTACTTCCTGAGATCCTTGCGCTCATACAGACAGACGGACGGACGGATAATAATAATATAATATATGTACTTTATGGGGTCTGCCACGCCTCCTTCTGTGTGTTACATACATTCGCATAAAACTGGTATAGCCTTTTACCCTTTGGGTACCGGCTATACAAATATTATTATGGAGTGGCCTGCACAATCAACGGACATTAATTCAATAGAACAGCTTTGAATATATGTTCTTAGAAAGGAGTGAGAGATGCATACTAATTAAATTCACTACCCGAAGGGTAAATATAGTATTTAAGGTTTGTGGAAAAAATGGAACAGGAAGAAGGAAGCATATCCGACCCTAAAAAGTATAAATATTCTTAATCGGCATGATGATGTTCGTCTGTCTGGACGAGCGCCAGGATTTTGGAAACGGCTGAGCCTACATTGACAAAACTTGGTATGTTGGCTACATGAGTTTTTTTTATTTTAAATAAATGTATATATCTACTTTCGTTTTTTAGTTGTGTTAAGATAAGTTAGACGAATAAAAACTGTAGCAACATAAAGGTAATGGCGTGTTTTATTAATAATTAATAGAAGCGCTGTGATATATTCATATTTTCTAGTAAGTGTATTAATAATGGTTTATCGATCATAGTAATTATTTTCTGAACAAATTGCGATCTGCTTTGAGTGGACCCGGATGAGCCCCAATGAAACCCATTATACAGGGATTGAAGTCATGCCATTACACACGGAAATTTTCCAATAAGGTTCAAAAATGTCGTTATACTTAAATGTATTTGCCAGACAGCGTTGTCTCGTGGCTAAGTCAGTATTTGGTGTAGACAGAGTGGACTTTGATTTAGCGCCAGATATGGGGCAGCTGCTATCAAAGTTAGCCAAAAATAGTTAAAAATTTAGCGAACATCTGATTTCAAATTGCGCGCGTCATAATAAATATGCAGAGCTGCTTTTTGTTTGCGCCCCAGCACCCCTGCGTGCTGGCGCCATTTTGGGAGCGCAAGCGACCAGGGATGCCAATCTGTTTTTTTCCCGTCAAATCTGGTTGTTTTTGAAATTGCAAGAAAATTTCGGAAATTGTGGTTTATAGGAAGCGAGATTTTGTCTTTTGTTTTAAATCTATTTATCAAAGCTTGGATTTATTTTGAAACGGTGGAGGCAGACGGGGACTTTAAACGCTCAGAACAATACATATTTGTCAAATAAATGATGATGTAGTTTTTTTTTACGAAAAAATCATATGCATGAGCTAGAATTTCCTGAACTGCGTGAAAATAGGATCTAGGAGCGATCTAGACATGTCCATTTGTCAAAATTAATGCAAGATTGGGGTAAGAGTAGAGCTACAAAGAAGTCTGCACTAAGCTTCGTGTTCTAGATAATGTTTGCGTACCGATAGATGGACCCTTTTGTCCGGACATAGGAATTCAAATAGTCTTCTTTTACTGTTACGATACAAGGTACAACCATATTCACGAAATGCTAAACGAAAATCACCTAAATTCTCAATTTATTTCTGTTTTTAAAGAAAACAATTTTTTCCCAATCCTTATTCCCCGATGCCATCGATACGGTCGCTTTCCACACTTTCGTAATCTATACTGGCTGCGTCACTCACTGAATCAGAGACGATCCTCAGCATTCAACAAGTTTGCTTGCGAATTGGTGTGAAACCGTTTTATCGAAAAATATTACACACATAAGATATCTTTGTGCAGAATTTGGTTTCTCTATCTCTTATAGTCTCTGAGATCCAGGTGTTCATACGGACAGACAGACGGGCAGACAAACTGGTAGGGCTAGATCGACTTGTCTTGTCATGCTGATTAAGAATATACACCTAATTCTGTTTTTGCACGGTCATTATTTATACGGTTTTGATTTAACACGCTTTGAAAATTAAAAATGTTATATAGTCGTATAACCGACTTTTTTTATTCAGCACGATTCATTTTGCATATGACCAATGGCTTCTTTACACTATTTTTTTAGGAGCAATCTACCGTGTAAAAACAGAATTAGGTGTTATACTTTGTGGGGTTTGCCACACCTCCTACTGCCTGTTACATTTAATATAATACTCTTGTCCTTTCCATGTACAGAGTACAAGTATAATCATTCTATAAGCCGGACAGATAGTTCTAGACATATCCTAATCAGTTCTCTGCAAAACCAATTGGTAGTGTAGAACAAGCCCCATTTGAAGCCAACATCGAGTCAACAGCTCATGCTCTTTGGACATGAACGTATGTTTTAAGTATCTGTGCGACACTTAGTAACAGAATGTCGTGTTTCTCTTAAGCTTAGA